AGCCTGTAATCCTAGCACTTTGGGAGGCTGAGGCAGGTGGATCACGAGGTCAAGAGATCGAGACCATCCTGGTCAACATGGTGAAACCTCGTCTCTACTAAAAATACAAAAAATTAGCTGGGCATGATGGCGCATGCCTGTAAACTCAGCTACTCAGGAGGCTGAGGCAGGAGAATTGCCTGAACCCAGGAGGCGGAGGTTGCGGTGAGCCGAGATAGCGCCATTGCACTCCAGCCTGGGTAACAAGAGCGAAACTCCGTCTCAAAAAAAAAAAGAAGAAAAGAAAGAAAGAGGAAGGAGAGGGGAAAGAGGGCTCCCTTGAACAGAAGGCAGCAGAGAGGTAGATGGGGGACCCCAGTGCCATGAGATAGGAAAGAGAGAGGGCCACGTTTTCCTCTGTGGGGCCCCACCTGAGGCCATTCTTTCTGTCCCTCCCGCTGCTTCTGAGCCAAGCAGCCCCTCCCCTGTTCAGCTTCTTGAGATTCTCATCCTAGTCTTTCTAAGGTCAGCCTGTAGATTCAGGAACAGACAGCCTGCGTCCTTTCTTCAGGCACATGAGCTGCACTCAAGAAACAGTCCCTTTCCCCACCTCCCAGGAAGACCCTCAAGTCCAACTTCCCGCTGTCCCGCTGCAGGACCGCATCCTAGAACTTAGCCCTCCCCTGTGGGTGGGGCTGGGGGTCCAGCTGGGACCCAGGAGCCTGTCCCCAAGCCCAGAGTCGTCTCAGGTTTCCTGGGCTTAGGTGGGCTTGGTTTCCATTCCCTCTCCCTTCCATGGGCAGCCTCCAGGACACCTTCCAGCTGAAATGAAATCACATTCCTCTCTCCCTGCTTCATGAGGATGGCATTGCTGACAGCAGCTGTGACACCACAGGGTCAAGTGGCAGCAGCTGGTTCCCCAGGGAGGGGCTGAGAAGGGCGGGGGCAGAGGGGAGTGGAAGACCAAGGCCTTTCTTCTGAGGCAGTAAATGAATTCTGATTCTTTGATCTCAAGAGATGGGAGAAAGAGGCCCAACCCTGCAGTGGCAGGGATGGAGGTTAGACCGCCGGATGTCCTAGCTGTGTGGTGCCATTGGGATCATCCAGACCCAGCAAGGCCCCACAGGGGACGGGGTGTCCAGCATCTCTTCTGGAGGCCCTGGAAAACATGCTCTCCACACTCTGGGGCTGGGCTGTCACACAGACACGAAGGCCAAAGGAGCCCTTTAAGAGGCCACACTCTGCGCTCCCTTGGCCAGAGCCCAGCTCCTAGGCCTTTGAGTTCCTCTGAGACTCTGGTGGCGGTGGCGGTGGCAGCAGCAGCAGCAACGGGACAGCATCAGTCTGGGTTGAATGGAGAGCTCAGTCCCTGACCTCACCCTCCAGGCGCCTCAGCCTGCACAGCCTTATAAGGAAGTGCCCCAAACAAACCGAGGAAGCCACCTCCGGCCCCCCACCCGGCCCCCACCCCATCCAGAAGCTATATTTACCCAGAGAAGGCCCCAGAATAACCTCCCACTTGCCTCGCACTAATTGGAGGGGTGGGGGCGGGGGATACTATCCCTCTTGCTCCCTCCTCTAGGACTCCACACTCAGAAGTGTATCCTGTTGTCTGCCTGGTCATTCATTTATTTAATACATGTTTATTCAGCGCTCCCCCCCTCCCCGGGTTTCCAGGCACTGAGCTGGGCTCTGGGCGATGACCCGACAAAGGTCTTGCTGTCCCAGAAGTTCCCGTGAAGACAGCATGTTCTAAGGCCCCACAGTCCCCTGGTTCTGCTCCTACCCTGGCCTCTTTTTCCAGCTCCTTCCCAGGCATCTCCTCTCCGTCAGGAGCTCCTCTGGAGCTCTGTCCAGGGCTGTCTTCATCCCATGCTCTCTCTGGGGTATCTCTAGGCCAGACCCCTTAATTTTTGTCTCCAACCTGGCCCCCTCTCCCACGCTTCAGCTCCACATGTCCTCTCACCCCTCTTAGAGGTCACAATTACCTGCTGGACTCTGCAGCTCAGAAAATAGTCCTACATCTCCCAGCTGCCCTGGCCAAAAACCTGGGACCCTCTGCTGTCGTATCCTGCTCCCCCCCCTACTGTGCATTACTAAGTCCTGAGATTCTCTTTCCTCAGGGTCTCCTCTCTACCACCACTGTCTCCTGCCTGCGCTATGGCAGGCAGCAGCCTCCGAAGCCCGCCTGCCCACACCAACCTGTTCTCACGCAGCAGCCAGAGTTTGACTTGAAATGCAAACCTGGGCCGGGCACGGGGCCTCACATCTGTAATCCCAGCACTTTGGGAGCCTGAGGTGGGTGGATCACCTGAGGTCAGGAGTTTGAGACCAGCCTGGCCAACATAGTGAAAATCTATCTTTACTAAAAACACAAACATTACAGGCATGGTGGCGGGTGCCTGTAATCCTAGCTACTCGGGAAGCTGAGGCAGAAGAATTGCTTGAACCTGGGAGGTGGAGGTTGCAGTGAGATGGCGCCACAGCACTCCAGCCTGGGCAACAGAGGGAGACCCTGTCTTAAAAAACAAATGAACAAAAAATACAAAAATTAGTTGAGGGTGGCTTTAGGTACCTGTAATCTCAGCTACCTGGGAGGCTGAGGCAGGAGAATCGCTTGAACCTGGGAGGCGGAGGTTACAGTAGCTGAGATTGCGTCACTGTACTCTAGCCTGGGCGACAGAATGAGACTGTCTTCTCCTCCTTTACCCAGAGGAAGAGATGCAAACCTGGTCAGGTCACCTCTGCTTAAAATCCTTTAGAAGCTCTCGCTTCAGAATTCATTCATTGTCTCCAAATGTGAAGTCTGCCTTTCCTGGCTGTCTGATGAGACTTCTGCCCCTGAATCCTGACTCTTCAGTCTCATCAGAGCTGTCTCTTCCCTCCTCCACCGTTCAGCACACAAGCCTTCCTTCTCTTTCTCGGTTGCCCAGGCTCTCTCTTCCTGCCTCTGAACTTTGCATATGCTGTTCCCTCTGAATAGAACCCTTTTCCTCCCCCTCCTCCCCCACTGGCCACTCCTGCTCATCCTTCAGGTTCTCAGGACACCCTTCCGTCTCCCCACTCTTGTGCCCCCGTCAGGTGAGGTCCCCTGCACTCTGCTCCCATAACCTAGGGCACGTCGGTTTTCAGATAGGATTTCCACTCAGAAGCCCTTGCTCAACTGGTAGGTAAAGCTGCCTGGGTGAGGAAGCACGTTGTTCTTGATCTGTGGCTCCCCAGTGCCTGCATACTTTATGGCATGTAGTAGATGCTCAGTAAACAGTTGCTGACAAATGATGACCAACAGGAATGTCCCTGTTACTGTGCAACTCCTGCTCCTCTTGCTACATTGTCAGACTGTCACTTCCAAAGAGAATATGCCTCCCACGATATATCCCCTTAGGAATGTCCTCGCTTCTACCCTGTTCGAGATTATTGGCACCAATAGCCAGTTTGGTAACACTGTGGGGGACCAGGGGCCCTCTGTGGGGCATAGGGTGGGCACCGGGCACAGGAAAGGACTGCTTGGCTAGGCCCCTGTCCTGGGCCCTTGCCCAAGCGGAGGTGCCTGAGGGCCTGGGGAGAGCAAGCACAGGGCACCTCTGTCCCATTGGAGCAGCAGGGAGTGGGCCTTCCTTGCCTGGTTGCCAGTGCACTGGCCCCAGGCCTGGCAGCCTGGCAGGATCAGATAGGGCCTTGTTAGCAGTGGGTACAGGAAAGAGAGAGCGGAGGATTGTACTGCCAGGAGGGCGGGGTGGGGAGAGACAGGATCCCGGCCCCTGAGGGCTGGGGCATAGGGGGTGTGAAATGGAGCCGGAGCGCCCAAAACAGAGGTGCTAGATGGAGACGGGCAGAGACAGGGGCAGAGAAGCAGACAGTGAGGGCCTGTCAGGGAGGCCCCTACCCACCCCTCCCTGGCAGGAGGACAGGAATAGGAGTCAGAGGGGCTGGGACTTCATCTTCTCATCTTTCCCCAGCCCTCAGCCTTGGGCTCAAAGGGAGGAAGAGCCTGCTCCCAGGCCTGGGACTGGCTCCAAATGCAGAACATTTGTTAGGCAGCCCCTATCCCACCCCGACCCGGGATATTTAGAGGTGTCGCCAGATCTTCCTTTCCCGTGGAGCAGAACTGGGGAGTGGCTTCTATTTGGGTATCCTGACTTCAAGGCCTGCAGGCCCCACCTCATCCAGGAACCGCTGGTCCCCTCCCTGTCCTACCCAGGGACACAGAGAGCTCCTGGGAAGTGAGGCTGGGAGGAGCTGCTGTGGCTGGAGGACGCTCAGGCTACATTGGCACAGCACTGTCATCAGCCACCACCCTGACAGTTCAGCCCCACAAGCCCACTTTCCCGTCTTCCCTTTCCCTGCTACAGGGGTGAGGGAAGTCCTACAGAAGAGCTATGCTGTCTTCAGCCTCCCTCCTACTCTCCCAGGCCCTGGGAGGCCCCCAAGTCACCTGGTCCAGCCTCTCTCATTGTGTGGCAGAGTCAGAGGCTCAGAGAGGACTGTCGCTGACCCGAGGCCACACAGCCAGACTGAGGCAAAACAGGCCTGCCTCTCCCCTCACCCTGCTCCCGCCCAGCCAGGCTGAGCAGACATCACAGGCCAGACAGCTTGTTTGGGTTTAGAGACAAGGGGGCTTATTACGCTGGCGGCACCAAGGGGCTAATGCAGGGGGACATACAAGGCTGGGGGTGGCCTGAAGACCTAGTCCCTATAATCAGTGTTGTGGGCAGAGATGATGATGGCCCAGGCTTCTGCAGGCGCTGAGGTCACCTGGATTGGCCTCCCCTAGCCAAGCAGCAGCCCCCAGCCCTCCCCAGGCCCCAGTACTGCTGGCTGTAGCTTGGGTCTGTCTGCCTTCTTCCTCCACCCCGCCTCAGGAGGCCTCCTCCGGGGTCCTCCTCTCCTCAGGAGGCAGCCCCTCCCCAGCACCAGCATCTCCTCCTTCCTTCCCCACAGTCTCCTCCAACCCTGTCTCTGCTCCTGTGCAAACCCTGTGGACCCCCTCCCGGCCCTGAATGGGGGAAGAAGAGCCCAGATTTTGAAGGCAGAGGCATTACTTTATTCAGGCAGGGGCGAGCCAGGCAGGGATGGGGGTTGGGGGGTCAGGACATGGGAGTGCCCTCACCTCCATTAGCCACAGGCCAGACGGCCCAGGAGGGTGGTGCTGCTGCAGTGAGATGGCGCAGGGCTGGTGAGCTTGGGCACAAAGGCCAGCACGTTGCCCTCCCTTTGGAGGGGCCTCTGGGTCCCAGACTTTCCAGCTGACCGGATGTGGAGGAAAGGGGGCCTAATACTATCGGGCTTCAGCTGACTTAGCCTATGCGATGGTGCAGGTGGGGGTCTCCTTTGCGGGGCAGAGGTTGTCCCTACAGCCTCCACCCTTGCAGTCTCCTTTGCCACACCCCTTCCACCTTAGCCAGCCAGGCCTCTCAGCCGGAAACCACAGGTCAAGAGATCATAAGTTAAGAGTGCTACCCCTGAGCAGGGAGCAGGCTTGGGACATCCTCCCCCTCCCCCACCCCTAAGTCCCCACTGCCCCTAGTCCTCCCCTGAGGACCAGGACTCTCTATCTCCTTCCCTCTGAGTGAACTTCAGGAACGGACCCGAGCCCAGGTGAACAGAAGCCCCTGCCCAAGGGGTCTTCAGGGCACTCCCCTCCTCCTCCTGAAAGGGGCTCCCTCGGTCACCCTCAGGAACCAGCAGCATCCCCTGCCCCACTTCGTCAGACTGCTCCAGCCCGTTAATCACTCCCCCATTCACATGCTGTGACTTCTCCTCCAAGCTGGGACCCTGGCCATTAACAGCAACAGTGTCTGCCCCTGGGCCTGCACCCTCCACCCCACTGGGGATCTCCAGAGGGCCCGGGACTTTGTCCTCCCTCTCCAAGAAAACAGGGTCAGATTCTTCCTCTGAGCCAGAAGCCTCAGCACTCTCCTGGGACTCAGTTTCCAGGGCAGTCATAGGGGCACCAGCCACTGCACCCCTCAAGCTGTCATCCCAGGGGATATTGACACCCACAGAATCAGACTCCATGAAGTCCCCTCTCTGGGAGCTACTCAGGGCCTGGAGGCTGCCAACAGAGGACCCTGGCACCCACCGCCCAGCCCCTGGCTCCCTTCCCTCCTCCTCATCCTCCTCCTCCTCCTCTCCCTCCTCCCCACTTTCTTCCTCATCTGCAAACCCATCAGACTCCCCATCCCGATCCCACGCTGCAGGCTCCAGTAGCAGCTGGGACACCTGGCCCAGAGGTTCTGCCACCTCCCCAGGGACCCCAGGAAGAAGAGAAGCCTCAGTCCCCAGGTCCTCAAATTCCTCTGACAGGTCAGAGTCACGGCCTCGCTCCTCTTCCCCCTCTTCCCCATCCTCCTCTCCTGAGGGTGGGGCCTCAAGGGCCTGGGAAGCCAGGATAGTAGGATCCCAGCCCTCCTTCCCAGTCTCCCCTTGAGGGTCTGGGCTCTGCTCTCCAGCGGGGTCCCACTTGGGGGACATGGGGGACCTGAGGTAGAGGCCCAGGGGAGTAGAGTCAGGAAGGGTTTCCCCCAGCTCATCCTCCTCGCTCTCTTCTCTGCTCTCCTCCTCCTCCTGGAGGCCCTCGGGGATCTCCCCAGAAGCCAACTCCTTATGCTCACTCTCTACTTTTCCCAGGGCTTCAGCCCTACCCTCCAGCCCCCAGCTAGCTTCCTGGCTCCCCTCAGCCTGAGGCTGGGATCCAGGGGCATCTTCCAGGATTGGGGTGTACATTGGGCTGGGGGGTGCCAGCACTGGGGATGCATCCTCCTCAGCTTCCTCTGACCCCAGGGGCTGAGGTGGAGGGGCATCGCTTCCATCATAGCCCAGGGTCTCAGCAGGGAACGCCTCCTCTGCTCCCAGGATAGCCTCAGCCTCTGGTTCCTCCCAGCCTGTGGGAAGCTCTAGAGGGTCTCCACTCTTCCCAGGCAGCTCAGAGAGCTCCGCCCCCAGAGCATCTGCCTCCCCTACGTCCTTTCTAGGCCCTTCCAAGCCCGGAACGCTCTTTGCCTCCAAACTCTCCTCTTCCAGGAGTGGTTCCGTCACCTCTTCCCTGGTCAGATGGCCTGGGTCCTCTAGCCCTCCCACCTCCTGTCCCGGGACTTCCTTAGCTCCCGCAGCAGACTCACCCACGGCAGGCTCTGACCCCAACATGACCTCTGGGGAGTCTTGGTCACCCAGCCGGGCCACATCCTCATCTTCCACCAAGGGCTCTATCGCCTCTGGCAGTTCCTGGGGAGCTTGCAGACCTGGGGTCCCCAGCTGTTGTGGTTGCCCTTCAGGATCTTGGAGACCCCCAGCCCTTCTCTTCCCACTGGCTCCCTCAGCTGGGCCCCTATGCTCTTTGGGCTCAGGGCTCCCTGGGTGTCCCTCGCCTGGGATCCAGGCCTCCCTTGCATTCCGCTCTCCCTGCTCTATCACCTCCTCCTTCCCGGCAAAGCCATCCTCTGTCTTGTCCTCATTTTCCACTCCAGCCATCCCTGGGGTGCTTTCCTGAGCCAGCTCTGGGTCCTTCCCCACCGTATCTTCCCCGCTCTGCGCATCTGCAGACTGGGGCAGCTCCCGTCCCTCTTCCTCCAGAGACCTCAGTGACTCTTGCTTCTCTCCCTTCCTCAGGTTCTCTTCCTCTGCCAAATTGCTTTGACTTTCCTTGTCTACCTCCTCTGGAGATCTCAAATTCTCCAGGTTCCATGCTCCCAGAGATCTCAATCGTTCTTGATTCTCCTCTTCTGGGAGTCTCAATGTCTCTTGGTTCACTTCTGCAGACCCCAGTGGTTCTTGAATTTCCTTTTCTGGAGGTGTCATTGCCCCATGATTTATTTCTTCTAGAGACCACAGTGGCACTCGAGTTTCTGGAGATTTCAGTGTTTCCAGGTTCCCTTCTGCAGACTTCAGTGATTCTAGGAGCTCTATTTCTAGAGATTTCACTGCCTCCACACTCTCTTCTTTGAGTGACTTTGATAACTCTTGATTCTCATTTTCAAGAGGTCTAGCTGCCTCCCGGTCTTTTTCAAGAGACTGCAGTGGTTCTGGGTCTGCTTCCTCTGGAGGCCTTAATGTCATCTGATCCTCTTCCCCTAGAGACCTCTGTGGCTGTTGAGTCTCCATTTCAAGAATCTTCAATGCCTTTTGGTCCTCTTCTTCTAGAGACCTGAGTGACTCGTGATTCTCTGTTTCTAGAGGTCTCACAATACTCTGGTCCTCTTCCTCTAGAGTCTTCGATAGCTCCTGGTTCTCTTTTTCTGGCAGTCTAAGGGCTTCTTGGTTCTCAACTTCAAGAGACCTCAGGAGTTCCCGATTCTCCTTCATCAGAGGTCTCAGTGCCTCTTCGTCCTCAACCGCTGGAGCTCTCAGTGGCTCTTGATTCTCCTTCATCAGAGGTCTCAGTGCCTCCTCGTCCTCAGCCGCTGGAGCTCTCAGTGGCTCTTGATTCTCCTTCATCAGAGGTCTCAGTGCCTCTTCGTCCTCAGCCGCTGGAGCTCTCAGTGGCTCTTGATCTTCCTTTTCTAGAGCTGTCAATGACTCTGAGTTCTCTTGCAGAGAAATTACTAATTCTTGGTTTTCCTTTCCTGGAGATAAAAATGTCTCTAGATTACCTTCAAGAGATTTCGTTTGTTCTTGATCCTCCCTTGGCAGGGATTGTGATGTCTGTGTGTCCTCTTTTCCTGCAGGCTTAAGCAGGCCTACAGCCTCTCTTTCTAGAGGTCTCACTACCTCCACCTCCGTTAATGGCTCTTTGTTTTCCTTTTCTAGACTTTTTAGTGTTTCTAAGTCTTCTAAAGCCCTCAGAGACTCCTGATTCTCCCTCTCTAGAGTCTCGTGGCTCTGGATTTCCAGAGTCTTCAGTGACTCTTGAATCTCGTCTCCCAGAGAAGTCAGGGTTTCTTTTTCCAAAGGAACCTGGGAGTCCTGGATTTCCTTCCTGTCCATATCCTCTTGTTCACTTATTTCCTGCTGTAAGCTGCTTACCACTTTGCCCTCTATGGCTGTTTCTTTCTCTCCCAACCCCCAGATTTGCCCTTCGCCTTCCTCCTGGCATATGCTGAACACCGTAGACCCAGCAGCTTCTCCATCCTTAGCCTCTAAACTGGAGTGGTTGGGGCTGAGGGCTTGAGCCAAGGAGGCATGGTCCTCTGGGGACTGGCCTGTGCCGGCCCCTTGCCGCTTGCCCCCAGGCTCCTGCGGTCCAGGCTGGACGCTGGCAGGAATGGCCACCTTGGCTTCAGCCTGCAGGGGCTCTGGAGCCCACTGCCTCCCACCCTGTGTCTGGAGCAGAGAGAGAGGAGCATCCTGGGCTCTGATCTCTGCATCTGTGGCAGGAGAGGGTGCCTGAGGTGTGGGTGGGATGGGGGTGCTGGCCAAGGCAGGGGAACGGGCCTGGAGGAGGTCTCGGTTCTTAAGAAAGCCTGGCACAGGTGTCTCAAGGGTAGCAGGCAAGGGTGAGGGGAGGGAAGTTGGGCTCAGGACTGGGAGCAAAGATCCAAGACGCCGGCTCTCTGGGGTCCCAGGGAATTGCAGCTCCAGCTTGGGGTCTGGAAAGGCAGAGGGGAAAGAAATAGCATCAGTATATCACTGGCAGTGAGGGGAGCCACAGAGCAGTCACCACTGGCAAGAGTGCCCATGTGCCTGCCCCTGGCGCCCACGGCTGGGCTGAGAGTATGCCCGCTCACACTGACACCATGGACTTGAGATTTAGATTCGTGCCTCTTGGGAAAAAGGTCTGGAGTAGAGCAAAGCGGGGTCAACTCAGCCCCTCCTCTTACCCTGGAAGCTGAGGGAAGTCTTGGAGCCACCACCAGGTGTTTGCAGCCGGGAGTTCTCAGCCTCCAGGAGGGTCCTGGAGATGAGGGAGGGAAAGTGGGGTCAGCCCTGTGTCCCCAGGCCTGCAGGCAGCAAGCCAGCTGGGGACAACTCAGCCTGAGCTTGCGCCATCCTGGCCCCGAAGGCTTCCTCTTGATTTGACACTATCGCTCAAAAGCCACGCTCCGGGTGAAATCACAGTCACCTACAGACATCACACGCTTGGTCATACAGAGTCACACGATATTGGGGACACACAGCAGAACTCACAGACTAGAAGCAGATTCCCACACAGTGGGACTCTGCCCGGCACACACCCACACAAGGCTCAGGCGAGTCTCCTCCTCCCACCCCAGGCCAATGACCTCATCCTCTGTGTGGGGGACCGATTCTCATGCTAATTGCTGCCATTGTCCTTGCCACCATCTGGAGGGTCTGAGAAGGGGAGGATTCTGGGGAAGTGGGATTTCTCAGGCGTTCCCATGCGATGGGCTCCCTCCTCATTCCCCGGTGGCCCCCAGGGCTAGCGACAGACAAAAGCAAATGAATTCAGCTCCCCCTCTCCAAATCCTTTTCATGCCTCAAAAACCAGCGGTTAAATTCCTCGGGGCCCACCAGACCCTTCCCCTCAGTGGTTTCAGTGGGGGTCAGGCCCTCATCTCGGGATCTCTACACACTCTGGATCCCAAGCTCTTCCAAGCTCTTCGGGGCTCAAGGGTGTTTGTGTCCAGGCTGCTGCCTCAGCGCCCCTTTAACCAATGAGGGGAGCAGGCACCCATCAATTCAACAACTTAGGCTGAGAAGCTACTCCTCCCTGCCTTGCTCCATGATCTCTGAGTCTGGTCGGCCTCGCAGTAGCCTCCCGTCCTTCCAGAGCTGCGGCCTTCCTTCTGGGCTTCTCCTCCCTGGTGGTGGAGGTCCTCTCCACCACATCCTCCCCAGAGCCTCGCTGACCTTCCTCCTCTGGGCATTGCCTCCCCCCTTCCTGGACCTCTTGAGGCTCTTCACCAGGCACAGAGCCCCTTCCACAGGCTCCATCCATGGCCCCTCAGCTCACAGGCCCAGTTTCCCAGAAGACACCATGGGCTGTGGCTGAGGCCACACAGCCAGTGAGAAGCCGCCCCTCCTTGGTCTCAGCCTTCTCCAGGACAACAGGAAATGTGGACAACAAAAGGCTGGGCAGGACCAAGGGCATTAGGGGCATCAGAGGAGCCAGGCCCCATGACATCCAGACTAGAAGAGGCCTTGGAAGTCCCCAGCGAAGCCCTCAGCCCCTAGACAAGGCTGAGGCCCAGGTCAGGTGGCAAGTCAGTGCAGCCACCCCAGGCCTGCAGTGGCTACTTTCTATGGCTGCCAAAGGACTCGACTCCCTGGGTGTGGGCACACACACAGAGTTGGAGCTTTGCCCCTCGGGGGGAAGGGTCTGGATGTAGCCTCTCCAGAGGCTGTCCCACTCTGCAATATCTTCTCTCCTGGGGGGATTTCCTGGGCACAGGACATTTCTCAGGTCTCCATCCTATGAGGGACAGATGAGTTCACACAGGACATGTCCTGGTGTGGCAGTGACCAGCTCAGTCACAGAACCCAGTGGCAGCACAGCTGCCATCACCGACACCTCTGGTCCCCTTCAGTCACACAGTCTCCCGCGGTGTGTGTGTGCGCCTCTGTGCGCCAGGGTGGACGGGCCCACCTCGTACCTGTACGTGGCCACCTCCAGGCTGAGGGACATCTTGAGGTGCGCCAGCTGTTGCCGACCTTCCAGGACCTGGGCGATCTGGCTCTGCAGGCCCTGTTTCTCCTGCTCCAGGGCCTCCACGGCCAGCTGTAGGGCAGGCGAGAGGCAGTCAGTGGAAGGGCTGGGGTCCCTTCTGTGAACCACCCTGCACCCTGCCTGCTGTTGCTGCCCCTGCCACTGCCGGGGCTGCATCTCCCGCTCCCTGGCTGACTCCGAGCAGCAGACCCCCACCTCCCCTACCCCACTCCCTGCCCAGACAGCCCCCTCTGCATCAGCCAAGATGAGCCCAAGCCCGTGTCAGCCCTCCGAGCCCTCTCCCACGGCCTGCTCCTCCTCTGAGGATGCTGATTAAATGGTAGCACATGTTGCTCAGAACGCAGCTCCCACAGGAAGCAGAGGTGAGGGAGGAGAGGAGATGGGTTACCAAGAGGAGAAGAGGGGGGAAAAAAAAGCGAAAGCAGAAGGAAAAACGATTAATCAAGAGGCCTGGAGCCTGCAGGACTGGAAGGCAAACAGCCAGGTCCCCCATTGGTCCCATCTCCAAGGCTGTCTCCTGCTCCTCACAGCAGGCTCCAATCCCCACCCCCACCTCCCTTTCCACAGGTTCTGGATTCTCTCTCCTCTCAGAGGAGGGATGGGGAGGTGGCCGTGGCACCTCCGTGTGGCCCAGGCAAGAGGCTGTTTTCTCAGCTGCTGGTCACATCTGTGCCCTGTGAGAAGGAGCAGCTGTCCTGGGCCTCTGGAATGTGCTCCAGGAAGCCGGGGAAACATGACAGGGGAGGGGGCTGGTAGCCATTCATTCCCAGCCCCTCACTTTTCCCCTCAGCGGGAGGAGGGCTGTGAGGAACCTGAAGATTCTGGGTGGCCAGCCCACCAGACTCAGTGCAGAGGCGACAGTGCTGGGGTCTCCCAGTGATAGCAGAGCCTGGGGAGGGGCCCGGAGCCCCGGTAATCATCAGAGCCAGACGACGCCATCCAGAGTAGGGGGACTGCTGCAAGGGGTCTTGGGCCTGACTGCCCTCCCCCGGATGTGCTTTGGGAGGCTCCGAAGTCCCACCATTTGCACCCTACACTGGACGGGCTGGAAAAGTCTAGGGCTTGTGGCACCAGGTTTCTAAGAAGTGGCTCCTGAATCAGCAGCCACCTAGCCCCACTCCCTTCCCAGAAGGTCTCTGAGCTTCATAAGAGACTTTCTGAAGCCCGGTCTCCCCCAGATCCTCAACCTCCTCACCTGGAACTTTTCAGTGGCCCGCAGCCGCTCCTGCCAGCGGCTCTCCAACCTCTGTTCCAACGCTGCCCTGCGATCCTGGAGGCCTCCGCGCTCAGCCTGGAGCTGCTGCAGCTCCAGGCGGCCCTCGCGGGCACCCTGAACAGCCCGGCCTAGCCGCTCGCGGGCCTGGCCCAGCGACGTCTCCATGTGCGCCACGCGCTCCTGGTAGCCGCGCACTGCCCCGCGCCACGCCTCGCCCAGTCGCCTTGCCAGCTCCTCCACCTCCGGGGCCGGCGCCGAGGGCCCGCGGGGCGGCGCGGGGCAGCGGGGGGTACAGGCAGCCTGCGCGTTCAGGCCTACCCGCTCCTCCTCGTGCGCCAAGCGCAGAGCCTCCAGCTCGCGCTCCAGCTCTGCAGCCTGGCTACTCAGCCAGGCCTGTGCGCATTTCTCCGCCTCGACGGCGCGCCTGTTGCGGGCCACCTCCTCCGCCGTCTGCTCCCGGGCCAGCCGCAGCTGCTGGCATCGGCCCGCCACGCCCTCCAGCTCTTCAGCCAGGTTGTCGCGCGCCACTTCGGCCGCGTGCTTCTCCCGCCAGCGCTGGTCAAGGAGGGCCCGCAGGGCAGCCAGCTCGTCGTCGGCACGCGCCCGCCAGGAGGTGTCCCCGGATTGTGCCCGGAGCCCCCCGAGCTCCGCGCTGAGCAGCTCATTCTGCTCCTCTAGAGCCTTGACCCGGGCCAGGTAGGCCTCCAGGCGCCGATTGAGCTCCCACATCTGAAAAGACTCCTCCCCCATGCAGCCCTCCATCCTGCTTGTCTGACCCACTGAGGATGGACAGACGCGGGGCACCAGGAGAAGGGAGCGGCTCGCAGAGGTTTTCGGACTGAAGAGAAAGACCGACGGGGACAATGACAGGGCAGGGCGGAGTGGGAGTAGACTGAGCGACTGAGAGTCGGGAGTGGGAGCGAGGCTATTCATACTCCCGCCAGGCGGGCGGGAAGAGGGGCGGGACCCAGGCCTTAACCCCTTAGAGGTCAGAGAATGGCAGCAGTCTCTGTCCCTGCTTCCCCGGGATGCTGGAGAGTGGAACCAAAAAAGAAGCCGTGCCGTGGAGAATCGGATCTGATGGTGGTGGCTTTCTGGGGAAGGAGGAGGTGAAGAAAGGTCACAATCCCGGAAAAAGGCAGATAATACACAGAACTGAGCCTGTGGGGGTGGGGGTGCCAGGACGTTCCAGCCTAGAGGGGAGTGCGGCCTCAGTTACTCAACACATCCGAGGGAGCTATCACTTACTGAATTCCTCTAAGACTCAGTTTCCTCATCCATAAAATGGGAGCAATGATGGAAATCGCATGGCTGCTGAAAAAATGGATATAACCAGTTTTCTTTCTTTATTGTGAATAGCAAATGCTCATCCTCCTGAAATACTGGAGACATTACAAAGCATTGCAGAAAGAAGATGGAGAGACGCTGCCTGGAGAACAAGAACAAATGTCTGATATTGGGACACACACACACACACACCCCCCCACACACACACATCCTCAATTGCTTGAGTCTTCATCAGAAAAGGAAGCAACCGGTGAAGGGCCGACATGGGCTTAAGAACGTTTCTCTCTCCATCTTTCCTGCAATTCTTCCGTATAACTGCGAGGTTCATACATCCACTTTCGGAAGTTCTGTTTTGGGGAAAGGGCCCCTTCTCCCGCACGCCCTGCCAGAGAGTTTTGAGTGGAGGGCGCCCTCTAGCGGCAAGTATAAGTGGAAGCAGCAGGAAGAGGCCACCATTAGTTAAAACTTTTTTTTTTTTTTTTTGAGACGGAGTTTCGCTCTTGTTACTCAGACTGGAGTGCAATGGCACGATCTCGGCTCACCGCAACCTCCGCCTTTTGGGTTCAAGCAATTCTCCTGCCTCAGCCCCCGAGTAGCTGGAACTACAGGCGCGCACCATCATGCCCAGCTAATTTTTGTATTTTTAGTAGAGACGGGGTTTCACCATGTTGACCAGGATGGTCTCGATCAAGTCTTGACCTCGTGATCCACCCGCCTCGGCCTCCCAAAGTGCTGGGATTATAGGCGTGAGACACCGCGCCCGGCCTAGTTAAAACTATTCAAAGTTTTAACTAAAGATTTAAATGAAAACATGGAAACCATGTTTGTCAGCCTGCTTCCTAACGACGAGCCCAAAGTTTATCCAGCCTTTATGATGTGCCCAGTCCTGTTCTAACATTTTACTTCCATGATCTGACTTAATCTTCAAAACAGCCGTTTAAGGATTCGAAAGTTCATGAAGCAGCGAGCTCAGCAAGGGTGAGAGTAGTAGGGAGTGCTTTCTGTACCGGGCGCGTATAGAAAGGACAAGCGGGACTTAGGGGACTTAAAGCGAAGGAGAAGTGGGACTGGGGAGGAGATACAGGGATGATGAGACAGAGGGGATCTTTGCGGAAGGCATTTCTGATCGAGCTGCTAAATCCAGTTCAGCTCAAGCTGCTAAATCCAGTTCAGCTCAAGTGTTAATTGAGCACCAACTACGGGTCAGTACCAAAGAGATTGCAGGGACTCTGCCCCAGCCCTGGACATGCTTATAGCTTGGTGATGTGAGGCCAACAGTGATGAGCACTCATAGTCCGGTGGTGGAGGTAGACACAGTAGGATGACTGCAATACTTAGCCTCCAAGGTGCTGGGGACAGAGCCGGGCAGCACAGAGGAAGAAGAGGGTTTTCTGGGTAGAGGGTACAGCCGGGTCAGTAACCGGGAAGTCATCCCACCAATACCCCCTCCCCTTGAGGAGTCTCTCAAGGATCCTATCCCTGTCCCCAGGCCAATGGGGCTTTGGAATTCACCACCAATATGTAGAATGGAGGCCAGGGAGAGGTTAGTGACAGGAGATTGACTGACAGTCAGTGCAGACCAGGAGGCTGAGGGTCTGCACAGGATCTGATACAGGCTCCTTCAACCTTTTATTACCTCATAAATCCTGCTGTTTGGTTTGGGCTGGGGAGCTCCCTAGAATTGCGGCCAGCAGAGCTGGCTTAGAATCTCTTCCTCTCTTTCTGTTATTTTTATTTTTGAGATGAATCTCGCTCTGTGGCCCAGGCTGCAGTGCAGTGGCATAATCTCAGCTCACTGCAACCTCTGCCTCCCGGGTTCAAGTGACTATCATGCCTCAGCCTCCCAAGTAGCTGGGATCACAGACGCCTGCCACCACACCGGCTAATTTTTTATTTTTAGTAAATATGGGGTCTCACCCTGTTTGCCAGGCTGGTTTGAACTCCTGACCTCGGGTGATTCACCCACCTTGGCCTCCCAGAGTGCTGGGATTACAGGCATGAGCCACGGCTCCCAGCCTCCTCCCCTCTTTCTGTCTGGGAGGAAAGGGATGCTAAATGTTCGAGATCCCCTGGGATTCTCGGGGGGAGGGGGGTACCCTAAAGAGGTAGGGTGGCATTGAGCTAGGGGTTGCTCTCTGAATCTCTCACCCTCACCCAGAGGGGAGACATTTAGAACTGTGTCTCATGCAAAAAGCAGGGGGTCTGACTTTTACATTTTCTAACTGAAAGATCTTGGACAAATCACATAACTTCTCTGAGTGAGCCTGAGTTTGCCTATTTGGTAAAGCAGGTTAATAACCACCATCCCTCTAAGTTTGCTCTAGACCCAGTATGGGGAGGTCTTTGTACAAAGCCTTTTTTGAGGACCATCACAAGGAAAGCCGTGAAGCTGAAGAAAACCTCCTCTTATGAATCACTCTTGGTGAGTTTTAGGAATTATGGGGAATAGAGATGGCTACAAATTCTAGGGAAGAGTGTGGTGTTGATTTTCCTAAAACAGGAGACGGTAGGCTCCAGCATTCACAGCCTAGAGGATCTGATGTCAGTGCTTACCGGATTCTAAACAGATACCCGATATTCGAGGCACTTAGGGAAATAAGGCCCTCCCTTCCGTGTTTTCCCTGGTGACTGCATTTGGTTATTGGGACGTTTGTGGGGCCCTTGGCGGTACCTCTTATTGGGTCTCTGGACCCAGCACAGATGGGCTATGTGGTACTAAAGTCGGTGGAGACAAAGTCCAGCATCATCCCCAGAGATGGCCATGAGCAAGCTTAGTGGGTCCTGTGTGCTGCCCCGAGGGAAGTCTGTCCTTGGTTCTGACTATTAAAATTTTTAACTAAAGACTGGTCTTGGGCCAGGCACTGTGGCTCACGCCTGTAAAATCCCAGCACTTTGAAAGGGGCTGAGGCGGGTGGATTACAAGGTCAAGAGATCAAGGCCATCCTGGCCAACATAGTGAAACCCCACCTCTATTTAAAAAAATATATATATATATATGAATGAAAGACTGGTCTCAAACTCCTACCTGGGCCTCCTAAAGTGCTAGGATTACAGATGTGAGCCACCTCACCCGGGCCAAACAATATTTATTAAGCACCTATTGAATACCAGCTGTGTGGTGGGCACCCAATAAATGTTGCAAAGGAATCAAAGATGACTGATATGGAACCCCTCCCCAAGGAGGCCTGTGGGTACATGAGAGGAGGACAGGCCTGGAAGCCAGGGACTGTGTCCCGTGCAGACAGGCAGGCATGAGCAAGGGAACCCAGAGGAGGTGGCAGGCATGGTGAAGGGAGGAGCATGGGCCTTTGTCCCCTAGGCATGGTGAAGGGAGGAGCATGGGCCTTTGTCCCCTAGGCATGGTGAAGGGAGGAGCATGGGCCTTTGTCTTCTAGGCATGGTGAAGGGAGGAGCATGGGCCTTTGTCCTCTAGGAATCGAGGAGCCAAGAGGGGTTTTAACCTCAACCAAAGGGTGCCCTGGTCAGATTTGCATCTTAGATCATCTTGGAGGGTTGGAGTAAGGTGGTGAGTCAGGAGGCTGTTCCTACCTATAAGGTTGCAAGTGATGAGACCTGAGCCTAGGAGTGGGAAGGAGGGAAGAGACATGAGGATTTCTAGGCTGTGTGTGCTCCAGGATGAGTCAGATGTGGGGATGGAGGGAGGGATCGGGGAAGACCCCCAGATATGTGGTTAAGCTGTGGGGTAAGGGAGGGATAGTGGCATGGGGGATACAGCAGTTTCCAGATGTGCTGCTCTAGGGGTGGGTGCTGGGATTGAGATTTAGAAGGATGACGCCTGGTTAGGGAGGATAAAGGGTGACTATAAGCTTGGATGAGGTAGAATAGGGTAAGGGTAAGGGCACAAAACAACAGGCTGTTCCCTTGTAACTCTAACTCTCTGAATCAGTGGGTTGTTTGTTTTTGAGACGGAGTCTCACTCTGTCACCCAGGCTGCAGTGCAGTGGTACGATCTCGGCTCACTGCAACCTCTGCTTCCTGGATTCAAATGATTCTCCTGCCTCAGCCTCCCAAGTAGCTGGGATTACAGGTGCTCACCACCATGCCTGGCTAATTTTTGTATTTTTAGTAGACATGGGGTTTCACCATGTTGGTCAGGCTGGTCTCGAACTCCTGACTTTGTGATCCACCCGCCCCCCCCAAAGTGCTGGGATTACAGGTGTAAGCCAACTGCGGCCCCTGCCCAAATTTTTTTTTTTTTTCAGAAATTCTCTATCACTCAGGCTGGAGTGCAGTGGCACAATCTCAGCTAACTGCAACCTCCACCTCCCAGGTTCAAGTGATTCTCCTGCCTCAGCCTCCTGAGTAGTTGGGACTACAGGCATGCACCACCATGCCTGGCTAATTTTTGTATTTTTTAGTAGAGATGGGGTTTCGCCGTATTGGTTAGGCTGGTCTCAAACTCCTGACCTCATGATCTGCCTGCCTTGGCCTCCCAAAGTGCTGGGATTATAGGCCACCGTGCCTGGCCTGAAAATGTTTTTAAAAGTAGAGATGAGGTCTCACCACTCCTGGTCTCAAACTGCTGGATTCAAGTCATCTGCCCTCCATCTGGCCTCCCACAGTGCTGGGACTACAGGTATGAGCCACCATGCCCAGCTTGCAAAAATAT